GTAAAGAAGAAAAACATTTTTTTACTAAATTTTTATTTTCATTGAGTCATTGTAGCTGAATTATTCTACGAGTGTATTGTTTTATTATCCTTGATAATTGTGTAAATCTGATCAATTTATGTTTCTGCTAAAACAATTTGTGCACATCTTGATTCAAATAGTCAATTAAAAACCTAATAACATCAACATGGGTATATTATAGGTACAGAGACCTTTTAAGTTGTGCTGCCTGAAAATATTCAAGTACAACAAGGAAAACTGAATGATTTTTTTTGTATTAAAGGAAGCATTCCTACAATATATAAGCATTTCTTATTGTTTTCACACAGAAGCACAAGTTCAGCCCATAAAGGACAAGTATTAGAAAAGGCAAGAGTGTTACATACTACTGTACTCGAAGCACTTAAGGTGGACAAGACTGCAGGGCCTGAGGAATTGATATTCTCACATGTGCACTGAAGGGTTTGAGAATATATTCACCTGCCAATATCAGACAGACCACATGTGATGCTATTCATAGAGCACTCTTCCAGTGGTCACTTAAGGTAGAGTACACCCCGTGGCCGGAACTTAGTGTCCATCCAGAATAAAGGGGATAGCAAACACTGAACCAATTCTTTATAGACCAATAAATCTGACTTTTATTACATGTGAGGTTATGTAAACAGTCTTTAGAACTAAATTAACTGAATTAGAAGTTCAACAGTAAGGAATAGCTGGAAGACCCATTACACAATATCTTGATTTGAATTCTACACATTCCACTATATCCTTTATCGATTTTTGCCTTTCTTTGTTGCTTCTCCACATGAAAAGATCCACACATGCTACTAGCCTGCGACTTGTGTGACAAATGCTGATCAGTAGGGTGCTGGGTGTGTGTGGGTCCAGGGTGTGTGTGTGTCTGTGTGTGCCCTGTGATGGACTGGTGTCCTGTCCAGGGTGTGTGAGTGTGTGTGTGTGCCCTGTGATGGACTGGCGTCCTGTCCGGGGTGTGTGAGTGTGTGAGTGTGTGAGTGTGTGAGTGTGTGAGTGTGTGAGTGTGTGAGTGTGTGAGTGTGTGAGTGTGTGAGTGTGTGAGTGTGTCAGTGTGTCAGTGTGTCAGTGTGTCAGTGTGTGAGTGTGTGAGTGTGTGAGTGTGTGAGTGTGTGAGTGTGTCAGTGTGTCAGTGTGTCAGTGTGTGAGTGTGTGAGTGTGTCAGTGTGTGAGTGTGTCAGTGTGTCAGTGTGTCAGTGTGTCAGTGTGTCAGTGTGTCAGTGTGTCAGTGTGTCAGTGTGTCAGTGTGTGCGTGCCCTGTGATGGGCTGGTGTCCTGTCCAGGGTGTGTGTGAGTGTCTGTGTGCCCTGTCCAGGGTATATCCCACCTTGCTCCCCGTTGCTTGCCAATTAATTTACCTGCCTTGTCTGTTCAAATAAATGTCAGTTTGTTTCCTGAAAGCTTCTGTTACTGGTGTAACAGAAGTGTCCTGTTTCTCTACAGCTCGCTGTAATACTGGATGTGCAGTGAGGATCTACCATTAATACTGTATCCTGATATCAGAAGGAACAGCCAGTGCCTGGAGCTGTTGACGTAGCTGGTGGCTGATTTCACCCACTATACTGGTTTTTAGTCACTCTGAGACCATGCACATGAGATCATAGCATTTGAACATAGTAATAAGGACACACAGTAATAAAAGCCTTAGATAAATTTGTAAAGGTATTGGCACAAGTGTGATTTTGGTTAAATAATTATTATATCACCACAAACTTTAATTGTTATGACATCACATTCGTACTCTAAACAAAAAACCTGTCCAAATACGTTTGATCACATATAATTAACTTTAAAACACATCTTGACTACTAGTTAAATCTCGATTCTAGAAAGGCAAGGCAGAATGTATATATGCCTGTAGCAGTGGGGTTTGGCCTATCACTCCTTTTGTACTGGAGGAGAAGGCTCCTGCTGGGATTATAGCTGTATTAAAAGAGAGTTTGAATAAGTGGGTCAGTGGAGCAGATATAAAGTTGTATAAAAAAATAGTTCAAATGCTTTCAATTTTCCAAAGCTCAGCTCATACTTCTAGTTCGGCTATTGGCTGTGTTGTAAAACTTTAGGTATTCTGGATTTTAACTGCATTGAACTCAGCTGAGTCACCATTATTGTTAATTGACCTGCCAGACCCTCAGCTGGCACTAACGAAATGATGACTGAATAATATGACCGTTCATTTTTATCTGTCACTGCAGTGTGCTTTGGCAGCACTGTGGTCTGGTCAATAGCCCTTATGCCTCACAGCTCGAAGGTCTTGGGCTGGAACCCGGTCTGCGGTGCTCTTCTATGCGGAGTCTGCACGTCCCTCTGGACGGTAGTGTTGATGGGCTACTGTGAACTTGTACTGGGAGAAAGGAATGGGGGTTCATACCTGGTGGTGTTTGTTCCCATTCAGACCATTACTGGTTATGGGACTATAGAGAAATAGACCACAGGTGAGAGGAACCCTTTGTGGAGCAGTTATGTGGCTCTTATGTTCTAATAAGTAAGACGTTTAAAAATGAGAGAGTAATTATTTATTCTCCATAAATGTAACTTAATTCGGGGAAAAAGAAGTGTGAGAATTGATGTAATGGTGTAATAGCCCATTCTGGAGCTTCTGATGGCTTGTGGGAATTTTTTGTCATTTGTCTGAAGTGAGGCCAATTTGTGGGTTTCTCAGAGGCCTTCACATTGTGCCAGACTCGGTTATTGTGCTTTAAATTAAATTAGACAGCGTGGGGATAAACTGAGGGCTGTTGGGATTAACTCTAAACCACAAAACTGATGCTTGCTTTTTTCGACAGTATTGCTGAAAGAACCATTCAAGGCCCTTCAGTTGGGATGCGAAAAATTCTGTTCCAGCTCATGAAAGTCAGGTCCTGTCAAAGCCTGCTCATAACAGTTAGTTTTTTTTTTAAGTCGAATCACAAGTGGAAGAATTCTTCTGCCACGTCTAGCACATGCCATGAAACAGTGGTCACTTACATTATGTGCCCTGGGGTGTTGGAGTGTGAGAAGCTTGATTTACTTTGAATTTTAGTGGATTTGCTTATAATTTGAAACTAATGTAATGTTTAAATTGCCTTTTAATAGTATTGGTAGGTTTTAATTTATCCTCATAAGACTAGTGCTCTAGTACGGAGTTCATTAAATACAGTTAAGGAGGCAGCAGGAGGAGAGGGGTAATCTGGAGCAGTTTTTCTCAAATGCAGCCAGCAGTGAGTTTTCTAATGGCTACAGCAGTAATTATGCCATTTACTGATTCCTATCTCTTCATTATTAGTTGGACTTCACTTATGAGAGTGAATTTTTAAATATACTTCAATATTGCTAAGAGATTACTGTGGCAATTGCATTGCATGATGTTTCTATTTTCTTGGACAAGTACAGGCTTCAAAGTGTCTGGACTTCAGTGTGCAGAAATGCAATAATCTATTGTGCTTGATCTATATTGACTTCTTTTCATGATGCTGCCTTAATAAACAGGAGTAATTTAAGTGAAGCAGCCACGCAAGTGCAGGTGGCAACTCTCAAAGACCAAGCAAGGCGGCAGACTGAGTCTCACACCATCCTGTGCCTGTCCACTACTTATTTCTAGAGAGCTGTGTTTTGACTGAGCAAGTCTGCTGGTATATCCATCCATCTGTATCCAGGCAAACAATGGACTGAGTGGAAGTCACAGGACAGACAGACACAGACACGCACACACACCAGGGCCAGTTTTCCCAGAATCCAGTTTACCTGCCAGCCTGTCTTTGGCCTGTGGGAGGACACTGGAGCACCCAGAGGAGACCCACACCAGCACAGGATGAAGGGCCCCATCAGGGCAGAGAGTAGGCCATTCTGGCTTGTTCTGTAGTTGAGTAGCCTGGTGAATCTAAAATTCAGGCCAGCCGCATTTTGAAGGAGCCCAGATTTTGGGCCTCGACCACCTGGCTGGGAAGCCTGTTCCAGACTCCAACAACTGTTTGTGTAAAGATGAATGATTCCATTTTATTTTCACACTTGAGCTCCTCCCCTTGTTTTACTGTTCAGTCTGTGGTCATTCACCAGTTGAGCCACAGTATAGTTGAGGTTTTTGTTATACATTTTTTTACAGATTATATCCAATTTCCATGTTCTCCATGACTGAAGAGGTTTAGTCCTTATGCTTTTTAGTCTTTAGGTCTGTATGCGACAGTTTCCAGAAACCAGGGATGATCATCTTTGATGTTTCTTGAGCTTTTTGTGATATAGTGATCAAAGTTATTTAAATTATCCTAAATGATTCTTACTAGTACATTGAAAAACATGAGGATAACATCTCAGACATTTTGCACACATACTGTACCATTCATTTATTTATTCTTCCCTACATTTTCTGCCTGAATACTAGAAGAATCTGCAATAATTCTGCTACAGTGATTAAGCATATTTCTGTACGTTGTGTTGGTAGGCACATGTTTGTAACCTACCTAGAATTAAGAGAGTTTCTGTAGGTTTTCCATAGAGATGTGTGCTGTCCATTTAGGAGGTCAATTAACATTCTAGCATGTCTTTTAATCTCACTGTCCTCCACAGGGGACAAGTGCCAGTGACCTGCTGTACCAGCTTACATGCTACCTGGGCAGCCAGAATTAGAGATCTATCTCTCATTAACCTAAAAAAGAGCCACCACCAATCCTTACTTGTAGAATAAAAAAATAAGGCAACGTGCCAAACTTGTGCTAATGCTGTATTATATTACTAATACAATATTAAAGTGTGTGCCATTTGTCACTTTGCCTTAGATGCATCAAAGCATGTGGAAAAATGACAAATTAAATGTGCCTGATTTTTTTTTTGCATTTATTACAAAATATAGTAATTATTAAACATGATGTATGCTCAATAAATGAGTTGTGTTGAGGGGCACGACGCGTCTCTCAGAAACCTGACCGGGATGGAGCGTGCCGCGGCCCTGAGGATGACTCATGTGTCTCTGGGTTCCTCCTCTCTTTCAGAGGATGTGTTGGCCGAAGAAAGCCAAGGTCTCTCTGTGCCCCTGTCCAGCTTGATGCCCCCGGCTCCAGCCACTGGCGTGTCCTCCGGCTCCCCTGTATCCAGCATGGACCTGCCCCGGAAGCGGAAAGGAAGCACTGACAACCTGTGAGTGATCTCCCGGCCGCGTGCGAGTCTCACAGCAGCGGAGGAGCTGATGGGGGGACACGATGGTGGGGAATGGGGGGAGGCCGATGTGTCTTCTGATTTTTGTTCCAACTAAGTTCTTCGTCGCAGGTCAAGTGACTGACTGGTGTTTCTTTAATGCGGCCACTTGGGCTGAAGCCGAGGTCAAAAGGACACACCTGCTGTGGGAGTCTGCCACATCGTCACTCCCACTGGCTGCTCATTCTACACAAGCCGTCAAGAGCTCAGTTTATTTAGAAATAAGGAAGCAAATACTCAGCAGGATGAGGAGAGATCTTGTCGGAAATACACGTGTACCTCTTTTGGCATACATGGTTCATTCCCAGAAACCCTTTCATATATCGAAAATTCATAAAAAGAAAAACCTTTATTTTTTATGGGGAAAAATTACGATCCTCTCCAGACCCTAAAAATATCAACCCTATTTTCACCAAACAATGACAAGAGACCCAATAATAAATAACATTCAAACTTAGTAGTAAAAAAACACTATTTACCTAGTTAGACATCAGTAATCATACCTACTACTATCATACTATGCAGTACTATATAGTAACTACTTCATTTGATTTTTGTCCATTTAAATACACTTAAAAGTTTTCTTTTCTTAACACATTAAGGCTCCATAATAAATTCTAAATCACAGGTTTTTTTACATGAGCAGTAAGAGCACACATGACAGTAACGCACAAAGCAAGATGTAGTGAACTGTATCGCACGTCTTTCCTGCCACCCCATAGGCTCTGTGCCCAGACTAGTCAGGGGAATGTGATGCAATGAAATAAAAATCCTGCCTGTGACTAAAGCTGTCTCTTAAAAAGGTGCTAAATGAATGGGAACCTGTTTCCTTATTCTAAAACACTGCATCTCTAGCCAATGAAAGTCATTTAGTATGTGGGTTGTACAATTAGGAAATCCATAGTTCTAACACTATAAGACAGTGAAGTGCATTGTAAGTATACAGCCTACCTGGATAGATTCTGGTTCCTTAGACTGCTGAAGGACGTACAGTATCTCTCTCTCTCTCTCTTGGTTCCATCAAATCTCCTCACTGTCTTCTGTCTGTTTTCTACCATTTTTAAACCTCTTTTGAGGACTATTTCCTATGCCTGCCTGACCTATCCATTTGAAGGCTGTCATAATGACCTCATGCAGAACGGAGGGGCCACTGTTAAATTCTTATGTTCTAAGGTGGCTGTCTTAATGATTTAATGGAGAAGCCCGGGTTAATGATTAGTTCCATTCTTTTGATCATTTGTGTCTTTGTGTCTTGTGTAGTGACTCAGGACACAGGGCAGCTGCATGAACACTTAAAACAGTGCCTAGTTCTAAATTTACTGGAGAGAGTAATGTGTTTTAGGGTAAATGAATCCAAGGAACTCAACAGTGTTGTAGATTAATGATTCCAGGTGGATATTAAGATAAGATCACTTTATTGGCCATATACAATTTTTGTATTAGGAATTTATTTTCACATACCCCAGCTTGCTCTCCATGAGACACACGGACAGGGAGAGAAGCTTGGGGTCAGAGTGCAGGGTCAGCCATTTATACAGCTCCCTGGAGCAGTTGGGGGTAAGGGCCTCTGCTGTAGGACTCCTCTGCTGCCCGCGGGAAAAGAACCGGGATTTTTTCAGCCACAGGTGCAAAACCTTAGCCACAGAGCCGTCACACCACCCCAAGAAAGATGAGCCAGGCAGGAGTCAAGCCTACAATCTTCTGATCCTTAGTCAGATGCGTTATTCATTGCATATCCATTGTATATTAAATACATATACATATCCATCAGACTACAATTCATCTCTTGGTTTGGTGTTTTTTGTCTTCTAGGGATCCTGTTGATGTCGATATGGAGGATGAACAAGACAGGTACATTTTCTAAATTAGTAGTATTAGTCTAAATTGAAAAACCTTGGGGTGATATTTGATTCAGGCTTAACATTCGACCCACATGTGCAGCATATTGTTTAACATCTTTCTTTCACCTCAGACATATCGCTAGACTACGCCCAATGTTATCACTAACTATGGCTGAAAAGCTGATCAACACAATTATGTTCCCTCGAATTGACTACTGTAATGAACTACTTTCTGGGGTTTCTAAATCCACATTGAACAAACTCCAGTATGTCCAAAATTCAGCAGCCAGAATCCTGACTGGTCCTAGTGCAAGTGACCACATTACTCCTATCCTGGAGTCCTTGCACTGGCGTCCTGTCAAGTTTCATGTCGACTTCAAAATCCTCATGCTCACCTATAAGGCTCTGCATAGCTTGCTACCTCAGTACCTGTCTGAAATATTATTGCCCTACTCCCCACCTCGCAAACTTCGCACTTCTAATTCTGGTCTCCTAACTGTCCCCCAAGCCCGTCTACACTCTGTGGGTGACAGGGCTTCTCCTGTTATGCCCCAGAGCTCTGGAACTCAATCCCCAAGGATATTGGAGTCACCTTCTCTAAACTCCTTCAAATCCAGACTCAAAACCCTCTTCTTCAGAAAAGCCTTTACTTAACTAGTTCCATTCTTCGCCCCTCTGCTCCTACTCTATTTAGCACCACCATCTACTGTCTCCTCTCATTGTGTATTCTCATCATGTTGATCTTTTTTTAATTGTTTTTGTTGCCGTTTTATTTCTGTAAAGCGCTTTGAGAAGCCACCTTTAAAGGTGCTGTATAAAAAAAAAAGTTAATTTTGCCTACGGGAGCTGCTTACATTTGCTTGCTTACATTTGCATTTAGTGTTTAAGGCAAATGTCTGCCCTATTTAAAGTGGATCGGATGTTGACCTTAAGAAAAATAGAAAAATTTCAATGTAGATTTTGTTAACCGGATGAATTCTCTGGGAGGCACAATGCTGGGGCCCCTGGGTGCTGCTGCTGCCTCTCAGCTCTGCATTTGGTTCTGTACTGGAATGCCTTCTGTGTGGAGTTTGCATGTCATCTGTCTTTATTTGGACATGCTCAGGGTGTAATTCCTTGTGCCCTGTGTTTTCTGCGTGTTTTAATTTGCAGATGCCTTTTCAGCAAGAAGTGGTTTTCTGACAGCGGGTATACATGGGATATCTAATCCTTTTTTTACCTTTTGCAGAGCTGAGGGAGATGACCTGCAAGTAAAAGTGAAGTGTTTTAGGTATGAACTTTCCTCTTTTTGACTTTTTGGAGTTGTGTACTTGAGAATCTTTCTTCCAGTTTCATAAAAAAAATCAGAAATAACTATTTCCACAGTGAAAGACGGAAAGACAAATACTTAAGATCTCAGTAACGTATTTGCTTGGGCAAACACATTTAAGAGATTACTGAAGTTTAAGTCTTAAGATTTATAAAGTACATTCATCATTGGTACTACATTTTACCACGTACCATGGTAAATTTCAGTGCTATGAAATTTCGAGATGTAATTTCATATAGAGGCTGATCTGTTAGATATTCAGTTATGCTTATGAATATTTTTATAGTGGTTGTCCATTTTATTGGTCTTCTTTTTAATAAAAAGTCTAATGAATTTTGTTTGTAGCTGTTGTAGATGTCAGTCCCATCAAATCAAATTCAAATCAAATCCAATTCCCTTTAAATCCCTTTGAAACCAGTGGTGTCACACACAACTTTAAAGTCCTGCTGTGACCAGTGCAGCCCTGTCTCCACTTTCAGAGCCTCCTGCAAAGCACAGAGTTGTGCCTCTCCAAAAGACCAGGTCTCCTGCTCTGGGGGATTTCAGCACTAATTGGGGTCTTGTCACCTTCTGTCACAGGCACGGCCTCTGAGCTAATTTATATTGGTGTAATAACCGTCAGTAGAAACAAGCACATTTTTTGATACCAGTGGCAGATTAGCTCAGCATTCTGATTTTCAGTTTTGCTGTATAGGAGAACATATAGGCAACAAGGAACTGCTGTTCCCTGGTTCTGACGTTCCACAGATGCGAATTAAAATGATCCGCTTTAGGTTTACTTGCATGAAACAAAAGAGGAGAAGGAGACACATGCTTCTCTCTAGGCAATGTCATCGGAAAACTTCTATGTTTAAGAAAACTACTATAAACTGGATTGTGCATATCAAGAAAATGACTTAGAGTTAGGTGGTCTGAAATCACTGTATTGGGCAGGAGAACCTGGTTTTCCCGCAGTGTGACAAAGAAGGATGCGGCACATCTTAGGTCATCTTAATGTAGTTTCTAACTGCAGTCGTTCTATATCGCCTCTAGAGAGCCGCACAGCCAAATCGAGAAGAGGAGGAGGGACAAAATGAACAACCTTATTGACGAGCTATCTGCCATGATCCCGCCCTGTAACCCCGTGTCTCGCAAGCTAGACAAGCTCACTGTGCTGAGGATGGCCGTGCAGCACTTGAAATCACTGAAAGGTAAGCATTGCAGACAACCTCCCCTTACCCATAATGCATTGTCAGCTGTGTGGCGATGTGGGAATGCCCTTCTCACTAGGTGTTTACACTGGTATAGAAGTGCCTCAAAATATGATGACAGCTTGCAGGAAAGTGGCATTTTGAGAAAGGCTGCTATGCTTTTAGGTAGCATATTATGTGCATCTGAAGTCTCTTCTCCATTAACTGGAGGCAGGCCTGAGCTGTAGTCATGCTGGATTTCGTTTTCCGGTTTCCCTGACTTTTCTCATTGCTAACCAGGTGCCACCAGCTCTTTTGCTGAAGCCAGTTACAAGCCTTCATTCCTGCCTGATGACGAGCTCAAACATCTAGTACTCAGGGTAACTGACTCTACTTTACCCTTATTCCTCCTGTTGTTGTGATCTGCTTGGGAAAGCGGTGATCGTGAACAGGTTTATTATGATTTCTGTTTATGGCCAAGAGCGTTGAGTGCTCATGTGATCAAAAGAAAAACTTAAAACAAGCAGTCTTTTGCTCTGGCTTGGAGAGAATACAATAACAAATAAAGAAAATTAATGATCCTATTAATAAAGAAAATCAAGAATGTAGTACATTATCCATCGATAGTGTTTTATGAATGTGATGCAGGTGGTTTAATTCTCCACTGCTGAATTCAAAAGAAGAGATTCTATATACAAATGTAATCTGTTATCTGAGGTACTGTAAAACAGCTGTTGATAATGGATTTACACACTATAGACAGATTTATACAGTTTTTGAGATGGCATTTAAGAGAAGCATTCTACTTCCTATTGTTCTTAAGTGTATTACTACAGATGGGCTCTATTAAGGTAAAAAACAACCATGTGTCATTATCAAAGAATGCTGCTAATGCTGAATGAATGATAACATTGATCAGTTTCAATGTTCCCGATTCTTTTTAAATATTTCGTTTTTTATTTATACTCCTTTTTAAAAAAATTGAAATCCAGTTTTTTTCAATGTTTCATGATCACTTTACCCAGGCAGATGTTTGAACAGCACAGTGACTTAATGGAATAAGTTATTGTTTCAGAATGGAAATAAGTGTCTAATGCTTAACACGTAAACACACAAACTGTAACATTATCACAGAATTTAGAAATGTTTTTATCACTGCAGGTATAGCAGGTCATTAAATCATAGGCAGACTGGTTGAATATATATTTCAACAAGATTAATTAGGACACTTTTGCATTGCTGATTTCTTTAATCACTTTGTATGTTGCAGTTGTTTTTGAGAAGTGCACTTGGAGTCTTACACTATAACCAAGATTCTCTGGACGGTGGAAATGCCTGTTCAGTTGTATTAACAATTTTCCTTGTTCACGTTAAGATTACCCTTAAGTACTCGGACAGAAGCCCTCTTTGACAAAGTTAAGGCTCTCAGCTGTTTAGGCTGCACCACTGCACCTCTGATGAATCTACCCAATGAATGGCATGTCTCTTCTGAGCAGTGAGTACCAATTGGGCAAGCCTGAGCCAGCTAGGTGTTGAATGCTGAGGTCCTCTCTGAGCTAGGCACAGCCAGGGATTACACAAAGACATTAGAGATGGGACTTGACTGTAGCCTGGGTGGAGTGAGTCTAACTAGTTTGAGCTGGGTTGAAACAGAGAAGAAGAAAGGCTGTTTCATCAGTGCGTCGGAGCTCCTGAAGGTGGCGTGGTGTTAACTCCTGTGACTGCCCGTTGTACAGGCTGCGGACGGCTTCCTGTTTGTTGTGGGGTGCGATCGGGGAAAAATTCTTTTTGTGTCGGAGTCGGTTTCCAAGATACTGAACTACAGTCGGGTGAGTACTGGAGTTGCACAGCTGTTGCTGATAGTTGGTGGTGCTGGAATTGTACAGTTATAAAGAGAATGAAGATCCTTTGTGCTTAATTTTATATATTAAATGTGCACTTCATGTAATATGTATACATTTGATCCATGCATTATTTTTGGGTTCTTGCAGCGGTTACAGTAATGAAATGGTATAGATGGGCAAAAAGTGGTAGAAGAAAGGTTGAAGCAATTTAATTGTTTAAGGGTTCATTTAAAAAAAATAAAGTTAGGGATAAAGAAATGTATTTTTTAAACCCTTTCTTCATACAGTATACAGTTAGGTAGAATCTTCTTGGTGAGAGATGTTTTTCTTTCCTTTAATTTATTTAATATTAAATTTGTACTTATTCTTTTTTCCAGGCTGAATTGATCGGACAAAGTCTTTTTGACTATGTGCACCCCAAGGATATTGCCAAGGTCAAGGAGCAGCTTTCTGCTTCCGAGGTTTTCCCTCGGGAAAGGCTAATCGATGCCAAAAGTAAGATTAAAATCGGAAAACTGATTTCCCAAACTGTTCCAGAGTTTACTCTTCATAGCGTAATTCTCCGTCGGGTTAGAATCAGAATTTGAAGACGTAAAAGATGAACAAGGTTTTAATAGGTAATTGTCTAACCACTTCTTCCATGGCTGAGAGGCTGGAGACCATCCCAGCAAGCAATGGGCATAAATCAGGGTACACCCTGGGAAGGACACCAGTCCATCTCGGGACAGAGGCCCGGAGACGTCCTCTAACCAGGGCCAGTCTTCCCTGACACCATTTGACCAGCCAGTATGTCTCTGGACTGTGGGAGGAATCCAGAGCACCCCAAGGGAAACCCACTCCAAAGTGGGGAGAACATGCGGACACTAAACGCAGTAGCGCGCCAGGTCCTGAATTGAACCCTGGGCTCCAGTGAAGCGAGGCAGCAAATGCTAACCACTGCCCCACAGTGCTGCCCTCATGTAGGCTGCACGAGTTCAGAAGATGGCTAAAACTCGTTCCAGGTTTCTCAGCGACATGCGGGCTGGGCTGGGACTGATGGTGCTCTCGTCTCCAGCTGGGTTACAGGTGCAGACGGACATCCCAGTAGGTACAGCTCGCCTGTGCTCGGGAGCTCGCCGGTCCTTCTTCTGCCGAATGAAGTATAACAGGGTGGTGGTGAAGACAGAAGACAAAGACTTCAAGCCGAGTACTTCCAAGAAGAAAGGTAAGGATGAATCTGGAAGTCGCACTCCTTTCCTCTTAAAACACTTCGCCCGAAGCAGCGTCTGTTAGAGTTGAGGACTGTTGCTGGTGCTTGTCATAGAGCAATTTTCAGGCTTTACATGGTGTCCTTGATTACATACTATAGATTTAAGTGCTGGCTGATGATGGTTTTTTTTTCCAGTTACAAACTATAATCAAAAAGGTGCCTTTTGAACATAACATTACAATAAAAACATTTTTGACCACTTATTCTGTTGGATGGATACAGATATGTACTGAACATTGCAAACAAATGCAGACATTCATAGTGCACAATTAGCTGTCGTGTCTGTAAATTGAAGTGAATGCTTTAGTCCCATAAACCTGTTAGTTTTCTAAACCCTAGACATGTCTGTTTAAGGTCACAACCGTCATGGTCTAATGGATAAAAATGCATCTCGATATTTACAGCTGTCTGTCTTGTATATCTTAAATCCCCCTAAACCCTCGTTAACCTTTAACCTCCCTGACATCTCCTCCAGTAATCCTCGCAGATTAATCTTCCATATTATATAAATTTAAATTGGCAATATTTTATTCTTTGCTATTTTGCTTTCTTATACATAAAGTCAATTCCAGCCGAAGTTAACTCGTGTAAGTTGTGCAGAGAAGTCACGAGATTCACCGATTAAGTGTTTTCACCATTATCACTACTATCACTGTTAGTGTTTTTCACCATGGATACTGGGGAAACAACAGACTCTTGAAACTGGAGGAAGAAAGGGTAATCTCATTCTCATATAGATGATTGCAGTTTAACAGGCTCCCTTTTCTTTTAAAGAGTGTGTGTGACTTAAAACACGTAGGAGGAAATTATCTGGAAATGCGTATATGTACATTAAAGATTAGGAGGAAAGAGGCTGTCTTTTTATGTTTCATAACGTGCGACACCACGTTTTTGGATCGATCGGAGCTTGAAACAGGGGGTGTTTTAATGTGCTTGTGTAAATGTCCAGATTGTAGTAGCATGAGAGTGAGTGTGAGATGAGGACACCGCAGCTCGTGTTGGTGACCCTTGACCCTTGTACTGTTGTAGAGTTTCAGAGGTACTGCACTGTTCACTGCACTGGCTACATGCGGAGCTGGCCGGCCAGCCAGGTGGGGGTGGAGAGCGATTCAGAGAAGGCGAGCAATAACTTCAGCTGCCTTGTGGCCATAGGACGCCTGCACCCTCACACACTCCCCCCAGCCAACGGGGAAGTCAAGGTCAAGCCCACAGAATTCGTGATGCGCTGCGCCGTGGATGGGAAATTCACCTTTGTGGACCAGAGGTGAGGCCGAGCGTTCTTATTTCCCGTTTTGCTCACTTGCCAGAATTATAAACTCTATACCATCTAAAGTGTAGTTACAGCTCTTTTTCTTAATCAGTTTAGTATGTAGACCTACCTTTTTTAAAAACCATGGTGTCTTCTAATAAACTCATATTACACATTTTTAACTGAGTTCACCACTATCTTTAATAATGCTTTTTGACATCACTGTAGTATTTTCAGTTTGCCATGTTTTGACCTTGTAATATGTGAATTAATTCAAGGAGACTCTGGCACACATTAATATGAATTCAGCTGTGAATTGGTTTCCTTTTTACAGTTTTTTTTCTCATTTTCGAATTGTTCTAAAACATTTGTTTTTCATAAATCAACAGATTTATTTTTCAGGTTCTGTTTTTGATCCATATGATGCACATGGTTTTGTAAATGTATTGGTTATTTGCCATTTCCCAGAAAATTGTTATATCACATTTAAAAATGTAAATGCAGGTTGAACTCTGCTATTAGTTTTGAACTTAACATTTTTAAATTATATGTATATTTAAATTGAGGGAGTAAAAACAAATTGCAGCAGCAGCTTTTTTTCAACAGCTGCCTGAGCAAACTATGTTTTTATTGCCTTTTCAACGTCTGTGTATTAACAAAGAGGGAGGGAAATGCTGAAATCTAAGTTGTACTTGAAGAAACGAGTTGGTTAAATTGATGACTGGCAGTCATCTTGGATTTGGTTGCCATGGCAATCACTTCCACAGTCATGGCCTGCAGTACCTGTAAGTTAAGGGGCTGGATTTGTGCCAGTTTCAGCAGCACCTAGAGAGCAGCGTAACCCCTTTTTTTAGTATTTTATTGTCAGTGAATGTAATCAGCCACTGAAATGTAGGCTAATAAACTTAAGTCTTTGCAGCTAATAGGCCTAAAACTTTTTGATGCCAGATTTTTCTGGAATCTTGTCAATCTCTCTTCTGATGTAGTAACTAAGGCCCTGTGGAATTCAAGGGAGGATTTGAACAGCCTGACTATTGGGTTTTCAGGCCAAAACCTCAAAATTCCAGTAAAGGTCTTGGCAGGGAATTTTATCTCAAGATTAAGGAGGTATTTGACGAAGCCCAGAACAGCAGTTATACATGGAAAGCAGTGAATTGCTGGCTAAGTACAAGTACACTTGAAGAAGGCTCCACGGCCGAAACGTGTTCTCTTTCTTCTTTTTTTAGCATGGAATAAACCTATTACTTGTTCCTTTGCAGCCTACGCATGCTGACGCAGCTACCCACCTGAACTACTAAGTACAAATAGGACTGGTTTACAGTTTTTATTTTTGCCATGTGACATCTCGTTAAAATTGAGAATCCATTTGGTCGATAAGTAAAACACGGATTCCGAAATTATGAAACAGTTGTTTGTTCTTAAGTTCAAGTCTTCACTGAACTGCTGATTGTTTCTCCTTCATTTGTAACAGGAACACGGCCGACAGGTCGCTGATTGCTCGTTCCCTTATTTTTGTCTGGCAGTCTGCGTCTCACTTAGCCTCCAGTGCGTCTTTTATTTCCACCACATGTCAGCAGATGTTTTGTACGACATAACCATCTAAACCACTTGAACCATTTCAAGTTCAAGTTCAAGTAAATGCTGCCCGAAACAGAAAAGTTTGTCATCTAAGGTTTCAACCATTTATAAAACAGATCTAAACCGCTTGTTTCTTTACTAGGACACTGAAGTAACTTAATAAGCAGTTATTCACAATTCAAAAATAAGGTGTGTTAAATAAAAAACAAAGCTTCATAGTCCTTTATACAATTTTCTCCAATAATGAGAGATTGTAATCTTTTTGTGCATATTTAAGTTTGAGCAGTCTGCTGACACACATTGTTGACAAGGTGCAAAAAGCAGCAGGATCTATTACTTTAAAAACTCACCCAACGATCAGTTTATATTTGGAAAACGCCAGGATATGCACAGCAATGCATGTTGGCAGAAACCCGTTCAAAGCCATCTATACAGCAGTTCAGGTCAGGCTCTAGAAATTGGTTTTCAGCCAGGAGTTGCAGCTTTTTATCACACAGAAAGTGAAGTTGTGTTGCGAAGCTTCCCGGGAGCTAGCAAGCGGAGAGCAGAGAAAACAAAGTAACTCAGAATTGCCAGAGGCTCCTGATGAAGGTAGAGTTGGAATAAAAATAGAATAAATCACAAAAGGGTACATGAATTACTCAGACTCATGACGCGCTCCATCATCCTGTATTGGAATAAGTAGTTATTGAAAGTGGATAGGTGATGTGCTTCCTCTGCTCGTACTGTGTGTCTGTTGCGCCTCATTTCAGTGCATCAAACTGTACCTGTGGCTACTTCAGACCAGTGAGCGCATTGCACTAGGCTTTTAATCTACTCAATAGTCGAGTCGGAGAGCATTATATGCCATTGTTACAGAATTATATTAGCCAGGAAATCAATGCTGTTGATTGCTTGTACTCTAGTCAGGTTATGAAACCATGGAAAACACCAGAGTTGCTAGCTTGTTCGAATTTCACAGGGCCTTAATGTAACCAATGTTTTTTTTTTCTCCAATGTAGGGCAACCACCGTTCTGGGTTATTTACCACAGGAGCTTTTAGGGACATCTTGTTACGAGTACTTCCATCAAGATGACCTGGTACATTTAGCAGACAGACACAGAAAAGGTAGAAGTCAGACCTAAGGAACGTGTGATTTTTTTATTTCACCGTGTTGACGTTTTTCTGAACAGGCATGTCTGTGTGTAAGGTATTGAACCACTTTCAGATTGTCATACACAATGAAATAGAATATGCATGTTTAAATCAAGTTATAGTGAATGTTTTTTTTGTCTTTTGTTTTTTGAAGTATGCGCCTATAATTCTTTTACTCGGATCAGGCTAATGTGTTTCTTCTGATGTCTTTGTGAAAATCCCCCACCCCACCTCCCGTCCCTCTCTAGTTCTCCGGAGTAAAGAGAAGATTGAAACAAATTGCTACAAGTTTAAAACGAAATACGGCTCTTTCGTCACACTGCAGAGCCAGTGGTTTAGTTTTGTAAATCCGTGGACCAAAGAAGTAGAATATATAGTGTCAACTAACACGGTCATATCGTAAGTACTTGTTGCCATCACATGACTCCATAATGGCCTTCCTCATTACATAACATAATGTGGTTATTCATGAGGTAGTTTGGATATCAAATGCTGTTTAATGCTAATTAAGAATTTGTAGAACTGCTTCGTCAAGTTTCTGCTTAACCTTTATCTTTTGTCATTTTAGATTTTGTTTTTGATTATAATATAGGCCTTCATTTGCTTGAAAGCTGGCACATTTATGCTGTTTGTGTCTTCATAATCACTGTTTTGGGCCCTTTTCAGAGCTGTTAATTTTTATGCAGAAGGAATAGATTTATTTCTCTACCAGTTCTCATTCAGCTTTGTAATATGCTCATTATTCACAAAATAACGCTCACATCAAGTTGGACGTGTCTAGAAATTGTACACTAGCTCTTAAAAAAACTTGCCTCGGGTAAATATAATTTCACTCTTTCACAGTGAAATGATCTGAACCCATCTGTTCAACCTAAAAATGCTGGGATGCAATTTTTCTATCATTGTGAAAGATAATGTATGCCGATGCCTCCAAAAAGAAAATTAATTCAGCCAGACAGCAGTATAATGTCTCCTTCAGTGGCCTGTCTGTGCATGACCACTGACCTAATGTGCCTTTTTGTTTCGTGAAGGGGTGCACACAGTAGTCCTAGAGACTCCGATGACAAACTGGAGCAGCCCAGCGATTCCAAGTCAACAGAAGGTGAGCCGAGCAAAGTGATTCTTCTCATGTATGCTGTAACTACCTCTGGTGAAAATTAGGTCCTCACGCGGATCAAATCTTTCCACTCTGACCCTCTTTGACACCCCTAACTGATGAAAACTAATGTACCACAAGAAATAAACCAATTGTTTCAACAATTTGAGAGGGATGTGACTGTAAACCAGTTTTGAATTTGTGTAAGTTTTGGGTGACATCTTATCCTGTACAATCTTTTAAGATCCTATGTGGTGCACATAAATGATGAAAAATCTCTTAATGTATTTTTTCCTTCACTCCCCTCAGAAGTATCCAAGAAGTCTTTCCCAATAATCCCAGGGATTTCCAGTGGGCCAGGAACTATGATTTATGCTGGAAGTATAGGGACCCAAATTGCAAACGAGCTGCTAGATTTTAATAGGTCAGTAAATGGCATTAGTGCAATGAACAGGAGTCTTAAGTGTTCATTGTAAACGCTAAGACATTTATAGAATTAGTTTTTTAGAATGTTGTGAACATTTGGTTCTTAATTTGAAGGTTTTGTGTGTTAAATTGTTATTAAAGGTATAATAAATTCTTTTTTAACGTTTTGATTTCAGGCTGTTAGGCCACAAAAGTATTAGGTATAATTCGGTGTACTAAATTTTAAAATCCTTTATTTCATTTAACAATTTGGTGGCAGTTTCCTGCATCTGATTTTTTTATCCTGTGAGACATGGCTGGACAGAACTCTCTGGACCTCGCTTTTTTGCATGCGATAACATGTTTTTAATCGACAGTACCTCATGACATTTTTCTCAAAAGTAAAAGTGTTTTTCCTTTTCTTTTAAAGGTTAAACTCCTCTCCGTCTAGTGGAAATGCAAGCCCTTTTAGTTTACTGCAAGACAAATCTCCCCTTGCTGTACCTCCAGCCAGTAACGTGAGTCCTCCGTGTCCCATTCACTCTTCTTCCTCTTCATTCCTTTGAACAGAAGTGTTGACTAAATGCCAACGGCTGTATCCAGAAGAATTTGACCCATGTAGTTTAAAAGAATCGTTAGGTGTTGGCTTTGGGGGAATGGCTGGGCAGCTTGTTCCACACTCCCACAACCCTTTGTGCAAGGAAGGGCCTCCTGACGTTTTGAAGGCACTTCCCAAAAATACATTTGGTTACTTGAAGTGCACCAGTTCATTTTAAAAATGTATATATAAAAACATTGTTACAAAATATATACTGTTTTTAGGGAATGTTAAATTAACATTTTAATCTATTTATGTGGCACTTGGGTGTTTCATTGTGTGGTTTTATGTTGAGTGTAGAGTTAAATTATTTATGTCCTGTAATCCTTTAAAGTAACAAGCCGCACTGTGTTCATCATATTATATTGGTTCTTTACCATGAACACTCAAACAGAATCATTTTAAAATGGCATGAAACGTCTCTGATTTTACCGGGGGTCTCCAACCCAGGCCCTGTAGATCCCTGATCCAGTATGGTTTATAGGTAACCCTAAAAATTGGGAATGCTTTAAAATCACTGATTGGTTAAGCAGATCATGTGATTTGCTTCTTCAAGTTTAATCTCACTTTGTAGTCTTAATGTGGTTATCTTTTATTAAACATATAGCACGGAGACATACGTGGAATGTTTAATAAAATAATCTAACAGTAAATATCCACATGTGAATAAGAATGTGATTCCTGAGATTCAGTAACTGTTGGAGTCTCATTTAACATCAATGACTTCAACTAGATATTTTCTGTAAGTGTGTATTGTTCTCTCACATCTGCTTTTCGTGAAGTTTGGATTCTTCCTTCCAGAACTGTTTTACTGGTGGTGAGGGGTGAGGGTCTCCTTGCTGGAACAGATTGGTTCAGGTTGTGCCATGCCATTTCAGTGCTGTTTGGATCTGGGCTTTGAACCTCTCAAATCCAAAATGCAAAATCTCTTCTTTATCCGTTGTGATGTAGGTCTTCTTCATGATCTCCTTTCAGCTCGGCCACAGCTGAAGAATGGATAACCTGACCTTCTCTTCCCGAGTTTGCAGACACAAAGCTGACGCAACCTTCGTGGTTGTGTCAATGAAGGCAAACTGTCTGGGTCCTGAAGCAGCCCCAAGCCACCACCACCGTGCTTCAGCCTTCTTTTCTTTTATTGAAGGGCTGTGTTTGGTTTTCACCACACAAAACCTTGCTTATTGTGGCCAAAAAGTTAAACTTGTGACTCCAGAGAACATTTCTCAAATAGCCTGGTGTTCTTTTGATGAATTTGAGAAAGCAATTGATTTTTTCCTGTTATCTTCCCATTCAGTCCCACAGACATTAGCTATAGTGAAAGAGGTCTGCAGATCCTTAGATGTTATCCTGGAGCCCTTTGTGATTTTCTGGGTTGCTAATGGGGAGAGTTTGGTCCCTGGTCCCTGCCAGTTGGTTCATCCCCCAACTCAGACCTGAAACATCAGACTGGTGTGAGATCCGAAGCTCACTGTGCGCTCTGCTGTCATTCTCAGGTGCCAAACGGAGAGGTGGTTGATTCGGAGGTCCCTCACAAGCCCAGCCAAGAAGGTGAAAGTGGGGGTGCGTCCTTTTTTAGGTGGCGAAACCGTGCCGAGTAAGGGTTTCGACACAGACGTGCGTCTGGCTCCAGGTTAACTCGCCAGTCCTTGTGCATTGTGCCGTAGAACCAGTCAAGCAGCTCATGGAGCTCTCCCACGGAGACGCTCCCAGGAGCTCTTCCACAAAGCCCTTTAGAGTTTGAACGGGCTGTTCACGGAGTTCCTGTCCGGATGTCCAGTTATCTTCTTGTGTGCTCCCTTCTGTTGATCCAGCTGTCTGTGTCTGTGTCTGCCTGCTGGGTGGGTGTTTTCCAGCCCCACTGGATGTGCTCTTCCAAGGCAGGTGTGTAGTCTGACCTCTCCTCTCCCTGTCTTGCAGGTGACAGCGCCCAACTGGACCTGGACATGGTGGTCGGGCCCGGCTTGGGTAGCCTTAGCAACGATGAAGCAGCCATGGCTGTCATCATGAGCCTTTTAGAGACTGAAGGAAACCTTGGGGAAGCCGTGGACTTCAACGAAATGCATTGGTCTCTCTAGACTTGATTTTTACTCGTCTTTTTTAAATATCTTTTCTAGGTATTTCACCTGCTTTGAGATTGCACCAGCTGTTTGATATATGTATATTTATATTTTGGAGGTTTTATCTGCAGACTTGAATTTTGCTTTCAAATCTGTTAAACATGACAACAGTCTGGGGTGGTTGTGTGTGACCACAAGGAACACTGGTTGACCATTTTATAGCTTTTTTATACAAGTAGTTGTTCAACAACAGCGTTCCTCTTTAAATGCTGTCTTAATGTGTTCATAATATCAGTACAATGACTTTAAGGCTGTGCCTCTCAAAGAAAATTCCAACCCATTGAGTAAATGTTGAATTTAGCTAAACTACTATTTATTTTTCATAATTGTACAATGTCACGTTTTTAAGTGCATTGAAAATGGTTTGTGTCCTTTTATGTTGTACTGATAAGCAAAGGTAAACTTGTGTAACTGCACATTAACTATCAAGATACATTTTTTTTTAGTGACCACTGATTTCTTTTTAAAAGAAATATTGCAACTTCAGGTGAACTCCTTCTTAGCTCATGGCGATTTAAAAAAATATATCAACTCTTGAATTCAGTCATGATAAAGTTTGCAGTTTTGTTTTGTAAAAGTAGGGTGATCATATGGCTTTCTGAGTTCACCATTGTAAGTTAAGACAGGACAGGGTTTTAGAACTGTGCTTGGTTCGAGAGAGGTCAAAGTGCAAAATCAGCTTTGTGTCTGTGTTGAAGATGATAATTGGTGATGAATTAAACTGGTGATGTGCCTGAACAAAGTAAATGTGTAATATCCATCAGCTGTTCACAAACCCCTGCCAGTGGTCACACCATGTGAACAGATGTGTTCCTCATTTGCTCCGAAGTGTCTTTTTGGGGTTTGTTTTATAGCAAACGGCTGAGGAGTTATGCATTTATTGTATGGAGGCACGATTTATCAATTTTTGACTTGGCAGAGACATAATCCTGATTTTTTTTAAATTAACCTCTCTCAATTTAAGCACACTTTAAAATGCCGTTCTCTGTTCTCTGTGTTCCAGTGACCCTGGTCACCCAGTATGGCAGGACGCTATGGAGGAACATGCAGTGTAGAGCCACAGAGATGCGTTATTCGCTGCCTGACTTAGTGGAGTAAATGTTTTTATAAAAACTACACTTATTATCCTTGATCCCTCGTGAAGTGTTGTGGAAGGGTGATCCATCCTAACAGGCAGCGCTGAAGCTTCCAGGTGAATGAAGAGTTCGGACAGGGACCGTCAATTCTAGTCCTTAACGTCAACAGCTGCAAGCATTTCTCCCCATCACTGTTTCTCGTCAGAGCTGCAGATGTAGAGTTAGCGTTGAATTCCATGTCTGAAGCTGAAGAAATCACTGGGAATCTTCACTAGAACGTACTGGCATTCAGTGAAGTTTACAAAGATGTACAGTAGTTGATAAAAAAACCATAGTGCATTAAACAACAGTTATTAAGCTCATATTCTGGAATAGCACTGCTTTTGAATCCCCGTTTCTTTTAAATGATGATAAGAGGACGTTGTGAACCCAAGTTGTTTCGGTTGTATCATTTTTCTGACCTTCTTTATGATCCATCCCGGTTAACGGAGTTTATTTATCGTGTTTCCATGTACTGTACGTGCGGACATTTTACTGCAAGGCACATGAGGGCTCGTGACAAAAACTTGTCTGGAAATAATAGTTATAACATTACCGATACATTAGCCACCTGCCTCCAGCTGAGATTAATGTTTTTACACCATAAAGCAGCTGCTGAAGACTGTGGCCGCCTGCCGCCAGGGGGAGCTGGACACAAGCCGTGAAGATGATGTATTTTTTCACGCAGGTGGTGTTAGGGGAGTTCACAAAGGTGTGGCCATTGTATATTTCTTTTGTACTTCCCCAAAATTACTTCAGTGAAGGCTGTCCAGAGCTGTGTGAATATGGCAGCAGTGTGATCAATCCTGCAGCACCACGCACCGTTCACTTGGTTAGAACCCTGAATGTGCATTTAATGATATGCAAAGCCAAAACAACAGTTCTGTGAATAACTCAATAGCACAGAGGTCTCTACACATTGTCCTTTTTTAACAGTGCTGTAATTGCTGTAGAAGATAACAGAAGGACGTGGAAGCCAGTGATGTTGAGATTTTGCAAACGGGTTCATTACAACTGTAAAGAACATGCTAGTTTTACATTCATACTGCAGATCTGGGTATAACTCAGGAAACCAATATGAGCAGTGATAATAGCTACACTTGTGTTATACTTCGACGTCTGCTGACACGTGCACGCTTGTGGTATAGTTCACGTCTTTTGTTTATTCTGATTTGCGAGCAGCGTTTCTAGCGTCACAGGCTTTCTGTTGTGTGGTACAGTTGGGTTTGGAGACTGCTCGGATCCTGGTTCGGGCTCCAGGTTCAGAGATTGCATGAACTCCGCTTTCACACGGATCTGTTCACACAATCCAAGTACCTGATGCACTGAAAAAGTCTTGTTTGGGATGACAGATATCCCAAGATACGCAGGTATGCAAGCAAGTCCTGGAGAGCTCTGGTCCATTAAGTCTTAGAGGCCACTCGAACTGCTTTAAAAAAAAAAAATAGAAACACTTGGAGGTTCTTGTTCAGTGAAGGGAACTTGAGCCCTTTATGTCTTAGGGTTATTTTGATTTTCGTTCCTGTGATCTCTAAAGTAGGCTGCATGGTCTCACATCATATGATGAGTTGCTCCAGGTCTAAGATATTGGTAATTTAGTGGTGAACAGACCCTGCTGGACTGCGGCTCTCCAGGCCCTGCTGCAGGGTGCGATGCCGCACGTACGTTGAGCTGTAGCCATGCCAATTACATGCTCCTGGGATTTGCCTCCCGGCTGTATTATCTTCTGAGGTTCCGCACAACCTTCTGGGCTGCAAAAGAACAGATAGAAGATCATCCCTCACTGAAAGACACACAAAAATGCAATGCCAAAACAATAGCCAAAATGTGTTCTCGTTTCACTTTTCAGTGTGGAATCAACCCCTGCTTGGCCCTGTGTTTTCTTTTTCCTTGCTGTGTATGGATATGAACTGCTGGTCTTGTTTGTATCTCCTGGCTCCGTCATGATAGCGAAAGATTTCAGCAAGGTGTGAAACTAATTTCTGGAAAAGTTAAAAAAAACATAGCATCCCTTTAAACAAAGTCAGGAACTTGCTGCCTACCAAAGTATTTAGCAGGATTTGTCTTTTGTGTGTGAATAATTTGTGCATTTCACGAAAAGTTACTTATTTCCATGCCTATACAGCAGTGTTTTTGTGAAGATTATTTTAGATCTACTGGCAGCCCTACATTTCTGTTTTTAACATTTTGAAGCAGAATAAAATATTGCGATACCATTTAACCTTAGAAGCTAGTACTGCACTTCAAACTGTCCTGCATAGATTTTGAGAATTGTTTACATTCACAGCCGTTTGTCCTTTTCTGCTGCTGATCTGTTTTATCCCTTATGTAAGAAGTAAAAGGACAGGCTGTGATGAATAGAGAATGAGGAATGTTAACTGATTTGGGAGTTTTGCTGAATTCAGTCCTACACAACAGCAGTACGCTCTAGTGATGACGCACTTCCAGATCAGACCCCTATTCCTTTAATTCCTTGCGGCGTGCAGTGCATGATCTACCCAGATGCTTTTCTGTTTTTAAGATCTTAGTTATTTTTTTAAGTGTGCCAGGATAATGCATTTTTCAATCTCAGCTGTTCTATAGAAGACCAAATCACAGAAACTATATTTCATTGGGGAAAAAAGGCCCTTATGGCTTGTGATGAAGAAGGACACAGCAGAAGAACAACCTGCCTGTATTTCTAATGTGCCTTGCCACACTTCAATTCAGACTGCTCCTGGGTGACATGCATGGTTTTGTAGAAAATCCATAAGGGTGCATAACCATTATTGCTACACACTTTCTCAGTCACGACAGTAGGTGCTTTTCTCAAACTAGCAGTTTAATCTGAACTGTTTCATTCCTGCCTGAAATTGAGAGAAGGCTGGAGCAGAGGGAGGATGCGTAAGACAATGACTGAAGCTTTTCTTGGGTGTTTAATAGTTCAGGAGAAACCTGTTCCCTTCTGGCATGGCAGTGATCATTTTAGTAAGCAACCAGTGACTATTGCATAAATCAGAATTTTTTTAATTTGCTTGTCAAGTCACTTAAATGTCATTGTATACTTGTCCTGTTCTGACACAGTGAAACAGTAGATCTGCAGTCGGAATGAGCCCATCCTAAGGAGGACACTGCACATGATAAAGTGTTTTTTTTTTTCATTGAAGTACTGTATATGAGTAATATCTGGATTATTGTAAGATGGGCCTTTTTTTTCCTAAGTAAAGACCGAAGACTGGGAGCTGCGAGCCAAGTCTTTCTTAATTGCAAATATGAATGCTTTAATTGTAGACTGTTATAGCAAGCATTGGCCCGATTAAGTCACTGTTGTTTTAATATTATGTGCAAGTTATTTTGCAAATGTTATTCTCTGCATGCAGTTTTTTAAACGGTCTTGAATTTCGAACGAGCGCTTTTTTTTTGTTTCTTTAAAGGGGGAAAGGTTTGCATTTGCCTTAAGTCTGTCGAGAAATATCATGGAATGAGGTGGTGTGAGAAATCAGGCCTTTGGAAAGCCTCATTGAAAAGTATCATTGTACTGTACAACTGGTTACAAACGCTCCATTTCAGAATCTGAAACGCCTTTGCTCCAGGTTTTGACTTCTTGTGTGAAAGCAGGCTGCATTTTGTTGTTCCTTGATGTGATTTTGATGTAGACCCATTTTCTGACTTGTTTTTGTTCTAGTTTTTACCACTCTAAGGGAGGCTGACTGAAGTGGAGTCAGGTAGTAGATGAATCCTCACAAGCCCTGATGTTTTCTGTATTCATGCTGAAGCACTTATGTTAAGACCTTTCATTGTAACGTTGCTGCTGGTGACAGGACAACTGTGGGACAGAGATGATACATCTCTCAAGGCCGTCCTGTATAAACATTTTAAATAAATGTTAGGTTCCTGTGCTTTCTGTATTTTGTGATATCTCTTAACATACCTCAAACTAATTGGGAAAATACTCTTCTGTTATCATGTGGAGTGGAAGTCTTTGTTTGGTTCTAATGACGGGTTATAAAACGTTTTAAAAAGTGCTGGAACAGTGCATCTCTTTGAGGGTGCTTAAATATATAAAGTGTTAAAAACCTCGTCCTTAGAATGCAATTTTTTTCTTCATTTTGCATTTGAAGGAGTTATGTTTTAAATTGATACATTTTTATGTGCGCGTTGTTTGTGAAGCAATATTGGCGATTTGAGTTGAAGGTAAATGTTTGAACATGCTTTGCTGTCTGTATTTGGCTGTCATGGCTTCGATTCTATTTATTCTTATTAGAAAGACGTATCCAGTCACTGGTAAGAGGTCAGAAAGAGAAGGTACTAAATATTTTACCTAAGGTAATGCCCAGAAATGAATCTGAAGGAAACAACATTGAATAGCGATTAAACCTTTATCAATCTATTGTTGCTTCATTCCCATATTTTTAGTTTTTGTCTGTTCCATGTAAGAATTTAATCGTAATGCATTTTTTTTAGGTTTTGCTCGTTTTTTTCTCCATGTTTTGTCCTCAGGTTTTAAGAATCTCTGTTATTTGTAGGTACGTTTTTACGTTTAAGTGATTTTAATTTTGAAAGTGATTTTTCTTCTTTCTTCTTTGACGTCCTGAAAGCACTCAGGATAGATTGGGAAATCGCAATACTGGGGTGTACCACAAGGTGGCGAATGGTTGCTTGTAATTGAACTGTTTGAATTATTTTGGAAGTACTGTACAAGGAAGCTAGGAAGGCCTGGTCTCAGTTTAATTATACAGAAAAGGTGCTACGTTTTCAATAAAAAAAAATCATTTTCTATGCAGGCTTACCCTTTGTAATTATTTGAGATCTCAACAAAATTGCCAGAATTACAAAGTACAAAGACAAATGAGATGTGCTTTTACGATCAGTTCTAGATCTTTATTCAGAACAAAGTTTCCTTTTGTACTGCCTTTCCTGCTGTTGCCTCAGCTTTTAGGAAGTAATAAGTGCTGAAATCAGCCGCAGAGGTATGTCTGCTGTGTTCTGTTTGTTGAAGAACCAGTGCCCTTGAAAGACTGTTATCAGTTACATTCTTTCAGGAACATCTTTGTTTGGTGGTAAACAGCCCTTTTAGCCTCTGTCCTGAGCTGCTGGAATTCTGCCTTCTGTTAGTGGTTGAAGATTAAAGACCTGGGAGAGAGGGGGAAAGATAAGTCAGTCTTATCCATGACAGGTCAGACATTCCACTGGGTAAAGAAAATAAACCTCCTGCAGCCAAAGTGCTCTGGATTCAAGACATCTCTGGATTTTAAAGGAACAAGTAATGGGTTTATTCCATGCTGAAAGGAGAAGAAAGAAAACACGTTTTGGCTGTGGAGCCTTCTTCACAGATAGAATAGCACAGGAGAACAAAAGCTGGGAGAGTGGAGGAGGCAGGAGCAGGGAGATGATGAAAGGCCACTCAGGCGGTGCGAAGTGGAGAGAGGTGAAGAGAGGGCTGAAGTCGAAAGCTGCATGTGAATAGAGAAGATCACACGAAAACAGGTCTGTCGTTGAGAGAAGAGGGAAGGCGTGAACCAAGTTTCTGGATATTTTTTGTTTCTGATGTCTTTCTGCTGTGGGAGTTAAGAAACCCTTTTTTGAGAACGCAGACGGAGAGATCAGTGTGATCATGGCCACCTGAGGTGAAATGAGAAACAATGGGCTTGGAGAGAGATTTAATCTTCACAGCCCTAAAATGTTCTCTGAACCAGTCTCCAAGTCTCCTTCCCGTTTCTCCAATGTAGATGGCTGGGCATTTACTGCAAGAGATACAGTAAATAAGGTTGCTGGAGGTACAAGATGCCATCTGGGTGATCCGGAATTGTCCTGAAGGGCCTTGAATGAGTGTGGTGTTAGATGTGTACTTGCAGGTGATACAGCTCTGTTGCAGGGGAATATACCTGGTGTGGATGGCTGCTGAGGGCGGTCAAGGGAGCTGTGAACAAGAAGGTTACACAGATGAGGTGGTCGGCGATATGAGATGATGCGGCGATCAGAAAAGAGGGCCCCAGTGGAGGGATCAGCCTGTAGGATAGGAAAGTTGTTGTTAACGGTCCTGGGGATGGAGAGTGTGTTGGGGTAGAAGGGAAGCACCAGAGGAATGTGGTTGTTAGGCCAGGAGTTTGTTTTTGGCTCGGATGAGGGCCCCATCAATAATACGGGTGGGGTATCCACTGTTGATGAAAAAGGAGTGCATTTTGAGTGCTTGGTTCTGGAAATCCATGTCATCACTGCAGAGACATCGTACCCGAAGGAACTGTGAAAAGGGGGAGATTTTTAGTGTGGGGTGAAATGAGCTGTACAGGAGATAGCTGTGTGAATCTGTGGGTTTGTAATCGACTGAAGTAGAGAGTCAGGGATGATAATGGTTTATGTCTAGAAACGGAAGAGTAGCAGAGGATATGTTAACTGTATATTTGAGGGATGGGTGGAAGTGGTGCAGGAAATGCTCTACTGGTCATTAGAGCATGTGGCATCACCGAAGAAGGCTCCACAGCCAAAACGTTTTCTTCTCCTCTCAGCATAGAATTAAACTATTACTTGTTCCTTTGCAGCCTACACATGCTGACGCAGCCACCCACCTGAACTACTTCAATCAAATAAACTCACACAGAGCTCAACAGAAATAGAGCTGCTACTCCAACCTTTCTCAGGATTTTGATGAAAGTCCTCAACAGAAGCTCTGGGCATTGATGGAAATTTTTAACTTTTAAAATGGAGTGTTTTGCTGACACCTTTAAAATTTTTACTTCTTATCCTTCAAAGGTGACTGATAACACTCTTGTCCCGTGAGATAGTTCTCCCAGTATTTTAAGTTTTGAAATATTTAAAAGCATCGTGGCCTAATGCACTTTAAAATGGAAATGAATAATGCTAATTGCATTATTTTGTGATCGTATTTCCTGCTTTCAATCTGTCCATTACACTTTGCCTATCAATGAAAAGGCTTCCGTCAATGACCAGGAGACCAGCATCTTTTCATAGTCTCTTTTTATACTTGACAGCATGGATCAAGCCAGAAACACACAATAAATATTTTTTCCGAGTCATTGGACTTGCATGTAAGATTATTAACTTTGCTGATCTGTCAGTGTATAATATATAGACTGTCTGTTTTAAAGCCGGTGCCTATGCAATCAGAAGAACGTGTCCAAGGGTGCTGTAGTGCTCTCATAGAAGCAGCACCTTTTAACAACCATTTACAAGTGCTTATTGGATTCAGTCATGTTTTGGTCACGTGTCCGTCATATTTTATAATTAAATGCAAAGCTTGTTTGGCCTACCTAGAAGGAAATTTACCTGCACCACATAAGCTATTGAAGTGTTAAAGCACATATCAATCACGGAAGTCAAACACGGATACTGTCAATTGGAATGGTTTCATGGGTCATGATCTGGTTTTTAACTCTTCATTTCAACACATGAAAGTCACTTATTGAAAACCTGTTAGAGTGGTTTTTGTTCCTGGAAGGCACGGGGTGACTGCGGGGGTGTCAGTCTCCCCCTTTCTGCAGCCGCAGCCATTGTTTGACATGCTCTTAATCTGATGTATTGCAGACCAGCAGGAGAGAGAGAAAACGCACACAGCCCGATGAAAGGAATGCAAACCCTTCCCGTTCCTTTAGGGAACACCCCACGTAGAGAATAGGAGCTCAGTGTCTACTTTTGCCATTCTTAAAAGTCATTTAGCATTTCAAAATGGACACGAGGAATTTAATTTAATAAACGATCAAACGCATGGATGCATAAGACCTCAAAGCCCCTGTTTATTTTATGCTCAACAGTCGGTGAATAGAAGCTGTTTATTTTCAGGGAGTCTTTAGTGCAGGCAAGAAAATGCACGTGATCATTTTTATTGTGGCTTTAAAAGGGCCATGTCCATGACTAAGGGAAGAGTTCAGACATGAACAAGGAGCTTTTGTTTGGGAGAAACAAACGTGAAGGGTGCCACCCACTATCTCTCCACAAATATGTGCAGGTGGCACCGGTCCTTTTTTTGTAGAATTTGGCTAAATATACCATATCTACAGCTAGAAAGCTGGAAAATACATGCTTTTTTTTAAAAAAAGGAAATCTTTGGTTTGAAGCCATGCATTTATTTCCAATGAATGTGTGTTTCTTTTAGCTGAGTCCAAGGCCAGTCGCCATTCTTGCACGCTGCAGACTGGTCCCTCTGGCGAATCTTTGACACCGTTCTGGAAAGACGAACACCTGCTCTGATTAGCCATTTCCTCCCGTCTGCTCTCGCCCGGCTGGACAAGCTCTTTCACGCCTCTTCCCTGCGGCGGAGCTCGAGGGCGACTTGGGTGGCGTCGTGTCTCGTCGCAGGCTTTTGGCATAGTCTACAGTTTGTCAAGTCTATTTGAATGAGAATACCATGACTCGTGCGAACCTGGGTGTTCAGCTGTATAAACTGTCTGTGGACTTTGCACGCTGATGCACAAACACACAGTTCTGTTGGCTGGGGGTCTGGACAAGTGGCTGTCAAGGACACATGCAATTTGTTGCAACACTGAAAAAAGGTGGAAAAATAGATCTTGTTTGTAAAAAGGCACTCGGTACGAAAGCAGTTGCAAAACGAGATGAGGTTGTTCTGCCCATCCAGCCATTTGAGAAGTTGGCAGCTGATTCATCTAAGGGTCTCGCCCAGCTGTTGCTTAACAGAAACCAGAGTTTCTGCCTCGGCGTGGTTGGAAAGCTTGTTTCGTACTCCAGCAAGCCATTCGGTAAAGAAGTGCCTCCTGTTCTGCTGATCCTGACCGGCCCTTCTGCACCGCAGGCCCACAGCAGAGCGGCTGAAGTGGAGGAGTGAGAAATCAATTGCAATGGAGCTTTAGGGGTCCTGCCTGTGTAAGCCTGGAGTAGGATTTAGCCAGGACTCCAGGATTAACACTTCTACTCTATAAAAAGAATACAGTATCAGAACTGACCGTGCTCAGCCTTGCTTAGCTTATATGACCTCATGAGGTCAGGCTCCACCTGAACTTCTTAATTCTGCTTTTCTTTCACCTCCTGAAAGCAAGCTGTCTTAAGTTTACATAGAGGTTACTCCCTGTTTCATATCCCCCAATTAGCATTTTAGTAAAAATAAATAACTTTTGTAATTGATCTTTTCCCGCTTACTGGACCTTGTTTCTTCTAAAGAATCCTGTCATTGAGAAGCCAAATCATAGAAACAGTGCCTGGAGCCTGACATGCTGGGGGGTGTGTGTCAGAGCAAGCTAGGCTGCTGGTGTTTTATCCTCTCCAGCATGTGGATTTGGAAAGCAGCTAGAATTAAACTTCCTGGATGGGGGTGTGGCAGATCCCTGCTATAGAGGCTTCATCGTACCCTTACTCCATTACAAATGACCTCTATTTGCTTTGTTAACAGTTAATATTAAAAGCAGGTAGACTATAAAGGCCTATTTTGCACCATTAGTCAGAGTATGAAATATGAGTAATTCAGAGCACTGAGTAATTCTGTATACGGCATGAAGGAGTTACTGGGAATGCAGTTGTTGGGTAGTTCTGCCAGCTTCAATAGGAAAACAAGTGCACCATGGCAGTTATCCATATTTTCCTGCCAATACAAACAAATACTATTATGTAACATCTAACTTCGCACAATATACCTTATAGCCAGCAATATAAAAGTCTCAGCACGGATATGGCCTTTCCCCTGGGTGGATACGTCTGTGTGTGATAAATTGTCTCGTTCTTATCTTGGGTCTTGGGATTTTTCCCAGGGACTCCAATTATCTCCCACTTTCCAAATACAGTGCATGTGGTTTATGTTGATTGGTTTATGGACTAGATTGTCCCTGTGAATTTATTCATGTGTGCGTTTGACCTGCGATAGACTGGCATCTCTTCCAGAGTCTAGTACCATCTTGTTGTTGTCACTGCCCTTACCGGGACTTAAGGAGCTTTCTGGTAGTGGGTGAACGGGCGTTCAGGTGGGTATTTGATTTAGTTTAATCCAGGCTTTAGGATTGACAGGCACTTCGGTTAAAGATGAAGACGGAGATTTGCTGAGCTACATAAAAAAAACATCCTGGCCATGGTTGCAAAAAGTACATAAATGGCACAATATGTTAGGGGTGGTTTCTGTATGTTTTCTGTGTCTCTTCAAAGCAGCGGCACCTGAGGAGCTGTGAGAAGTTTCTTAATAGGTCAGATTAAGCCAGAAATGAGCAGAATCAGGTCATTAAAATACAAGACCCAGATGGACAGAAAACCTGGAGGTACACAGGTCCTCTGGGCTTCCTAAAGTATACAACAATAAGCAACAAAAATTTAATCAAATACAAATTTCAAATTGATTTTGGAAACACAATTAGTGTAATTGATTTTATGTTTATTATACTAAGTATTTAGGTGTATTTTGTGCTATGCACAGTGTGCTTAGCTACTTGGAACCAAACAACTTGCTAAAACGTTAATAAATCATTAACTTGCACTTAGCCAGGTTTCACGATGGTGCCTGTTCTGGCTACTGAAGATAATTGTGTCATTCCTGCTTGCTGGAAGTTGCGCATTGAATGAGATGCTCTGCTTTAGCGCCATTCCGGCGAAATGCAGAGAATTGGCCCCATTGCACACTGGCGCTGCCTATGAAGGCAGACGGATGTGCCTGGCCAGGCTGTCATGTTTGTTTGCTGTGTGTTCAGAACCTACATCTGGAACTCCCCCCAAAAAAGAAAGAGTGGTTGCAATGTGCTTGGAGTCCATTTGTGGGAAATGTGTTGACGGTCAGTGTGGAGCTGCTGGTCCAGTTTCCACCGTGTCTAACCAGTGGGTTTCTGCCGATTGCAGGAAAAGCACATCTCCCATTGAAAGCCTGCAAGAACCCAGCAAGCCCCATTTCCATCTGCCAGGAAGCTGAGAGAACCCGCACTGATTAATCTTTATAGCGACTGCGGTGAGCCTTTACTGATGGTGTTTTTAACCGTGATGGACCTGTTAGTAGACAACGGGTTTGCACAGTCCGTGTTACACTGTCTATTGAACATAAGATAGGTTCCCAACAGCAAGAGGTCATTTTGCCCATTTGGTAGTTGTACTGTTAGTAATTGATCCAAGGATTCCATCCAGTTATTTCAGGGAAAAAACAAGCCTGGGCATCGGCTTTGACAGCATCACTGGGCGGCTTATTTCATAGTCCCTCCACCCTTTGGATAAAAGTGTGCCTTCAGCCCTGATTAGTGTTATCCAGCAGTTTCTTGACATAAGCCAGGATATCGGCTTTGAGAGCAAGGCTGGGTAGACTGTTCCAGATTCCCACAAACCCCAACTGCATTAAGCTAACTGGTGGGGTGGTTTAACAAAAACACACCTGGTAGTCCTTAAAGGCAACCTAAAAAAAAAACGAATATAAGCTGTCGGAAAGAAAATCACAAGATCTTCTTTTTTTAACTGCAATTTCTCCATTTGTTCTAATTGATTATGCTAACAATTGGTATATTCTCTGAACAGTTGCACAAATGCATATGACTGTGGTATTCCCGTGAACTTTAAATGTTCCTTTGCTTTCACCATAATGAATTATGTTTCCCACATTAGAGGTCTGCATGGGCAGACATTATTTATTCATCCATTTTTCTGACTGCTGTATCCCATACAAGGTTCCAGGGGAGCCAGAGCACATGGCAGGGTACAGCCTGGGCAGGACGCCAGTCTATCATAGGGCACACACTCGCACCAGGGCCAGCTTTACCAGTATCCCCATTAACCTACCCAATGTTCTTTGGACATTGAGAGGAAACTGGAGCACCCAGAGGAAACCCACATGAACACAGGGAAAACATGCAAACTTCACGCCGACAGCACCCCAGGTCTGTAAGTACACCCAGAGCCCCAGCGCTTCAGGGCAGTGATGCTGACCACGGCCCGGCCACGCCGTCCCACTCATTACCCTACATAATGGAAACCTGATATAAGGATATTGCTATGGAATATTTACTGGGGTATTTTGCAAAATCCTGTATTGATAACCACTACTCCACTAAGCTTGGAAAATGAAAGTGCTATAACATTCAGGGTAACTATAAGGTGCGATTACTATCCTGCAAGTAAAGATGATTACAAGACAAAAGATCTTATTACTATCTTATTTCAAAGATTATCTGGAAATTGTGCTTTGAAGGCCGTTTCTTCCCTGATGGTGAAAAGTCGGTAGGTACCGTAACAAAATATATTTTGTTTTATGCAGTAAGTGCTGTGTTCATGATGGAATATCCAGAATACGACAGGAACAGGTACTGGCTACAACAAACACTGAGCCCAGTTCAAGTTACACACACGGTGCTTGTGACAATTTTGAAATCCTTTAATTCTCATGGGTCTTTCTAAAATTCTGACCATCAGTAAAAAAAAATGATTTTTTTTTTGGGGGGGGAAGGACTACAGCTCAATGCACATACTGGATAACATTTCAATTTCAGTGCAAACTATTTTAGTAAGAAAGAATACAGCACCTTAAGAACACCTAAATATTTTACTTTCTTATTTCAAGTGCTAATGTTAAAGATCTATCATAGATCTAGATCTATCTTCTCATAGTTGTATAGCATATTTAACAATACATTGCTATTTTTTTTATGTTACTGTTAAAGTTACCATTATGGTTAATGAATAACCAATATTTTACCTGTTCTGATTAAATATTATTTACTAGATAGACTATTGTCAACCCTCTTGCCAAATTTGACCTTTTCTCTTTTAAAGTAAAAACAGGTTAAAGAGAGACGATCCTGGTAGGCAATAATCTAAGATTACAGTTTGCGCATTGATTACAATTTTGTGGAACGAAGCATGCAGTATCATCCCTGCAGTATTTGAGATATTTTCCAGTGCATTTTTACATTCTTTCTACCTTTGGAATTCACATTAAAGAAAAGGAGATCATGTCCTCTTAGTAGTTACTCGACACTTTTTAATAAAACTCATGAGAACAGTTTGTCAGCTAATATAAAGAATCAGATTTTGAAATGCAATAAGAAAAACTACATTCATTAAATTATTTTAACCATTCTCTTAACACAGGCTTATAGACAAAATATAGGTCACTGTAATGCTAAATGCTAAAAATGTACATACATCTTATTACAGTTTCGCGGTGCTTTTAAAAGTCTCAAAAACATCAGTGTGGTTCTTCTTTTCCCATTCATGAGATTCGTGGCTGCCAGGAGAAGATCTAATGTAGCAATGTGTCTTCTACGGTACTCTCTGAAACAATTGCTGTCAAGGGCAGATCCAAAAACCTGTTACAAATGTCTACAGTAACTACAGCTGGCCGGTATAGCACATGATTCATTTGTCAAGCGAATCTTTGTGACAAAAAGGTTTAATTGCAGTTCTAGATGTTACAAAAGATGATTTCAGTTCGGGTTGTAGAGAAATACAGCCGAATTGGATCTCTGGACATAACAAAAGGTTCTCAAGGGTGGGGTTCCCTGCCAGTGAGAGGATCTGTGTCAATATTGGAACTGGCACATAACTAAGACTGGCAGCAGCAAAAACATCTTGTTTGTTTATGCTGAAGGAAATGCTCCCATGCTTTCTGGATACTGCTTGACTATGGTGGCATGACAGTGACATAAAACAGACAGGTTTAAAGCCCTGACTGGCCGAATCATTTTTCCAGCCTAAAATGCAGTTGAGGATATAATTTACATGCTGAAATATAAAAAAAAGCCTGAAGTCAGACCTCCCAAGAGCTCAAAATGCCTGCAGCAAAGCATTTCACATGATTACCGAAGGCGTTTGGTGAGCGCGGTGATGTGACAAACTTCAAGCAGTTATTACCTCAAAGGGATCTGCAATAGAATAGTGACTTTTAAACTCTGAAATTGACTGTGTCCCAATACCTACGTGCATGTGACAACATTATCAGATATATGAATGGAATTACCCAAAACTAAAATACATATTGTTCATATTAATGTTAAGATAAGAGCACTTTATTGGCCATACACAATTTCTTGTATTAGGAATTTGTCTTTTTTCGCATATCCCTGTTTGCTCTCCATGAGCCACACAGACAGGGCACAGAAGCTGGGGGTCAGAGTGCAGGGTCAGCCATTTATACAGTGCCCCTGGAGCATCTGGGGTTAAGGGCCTTGCTCAGGGGCCCAACAGCGTAGGATTCCTCTGCCAGCCGCGGGATATGAACCGGCAACAGAGGCCTTCCAGAGGCGCAGATCCTTAACCACAGAGTCACCGCACCGCCCCATCTTATGGACACAGACTAATTTGTGAACTGTGAAGGAGTTGTTTTTTATTGAGCATTTTTTAACAGCATCAACCATGTGGTACAGCCAAGTCCTCAGAGCTACAGCTCCTGACCCAGCCCGGGAGCGTCGAACACCAGCATCCTCTCCCACAAGCGTCATCACGTCAGGCACTTCCTGTGCCACTTCGAGCTTGACTGGCCAGAAGCCAGGCTTGTGTGTTGAAGAGAGGACTGATATGCACATCACTGGCCAGGAGAATTCGACTCTGGGCATTACTGAATGAGAAGGGGCAAATAAACCCTACCCACTCTCATTTGTATCTCTTCTTATATTCCCAGTGTTGTAGGGCTACAGTGTACAGACAGTTTTCTGCTCTTCCACACCCCTGCCTTTTCTTTTTAATCTTCTCATGCATCTGCAAAACACAGCATTCGGATCTCCTGCACAAGGGGAGTTTTCTTAAAAACAGCACTTTGTTCATTCAGGTAATGGAAACAGATAAAATGCTGGGGAACAGCTTAGTCATGGTGACAACAGCATTATTTTCATAGATCTGCTCTTTGCAAAGATGTACTGTAGTATATTCTAGTAATATTGGATTTCCAATACTTCAATACATCAAAGTTATTACATCATGATGTGTCATGGAGCAAATTCAGAATTCTCCTTTTCTTGGACATACAGTACAGTACAATCTAAAATGTAAATTACCAATAATCAGGAAAAACTTGCCATCTCAATCTCTTATGGTTCATTTCATTTGTAACCCCTCCCTCCACTTTATTGTATTTTACAAATACCCTTTAGGTATTGTATTATATGTGTGTATATATCAGGGGGCACTAAAATAAAAGATTCTGAAGTCTAAAAAGATAATGTAGCTAGTGCCACGTAGGTTATGTACAGGACACTTCCACTGCTGTCTCAGGGTAAGTTAATTGCTTTTATGGTCTTGCAGTTGATGAAAGCAGCCTTCTTGAATCCAGCCTGAACATAAAATGAAAGAGAAAAAGAGACATTCAATGCAAAACATCTGCCTAGAAATGCACTCCACTCATGTCAAACTGAACCAGAGATCAATTCATGTTGAAACTAGAAGAGATTCTTCGCACACACACATAAAAAAAAATTAAAAACCCTGATTCAATGGCTTACTAGAGTTTAGTAATTACATCTAGGAAAAATCTAGGCAAAATATTTAGTGTACACAGAAATTATAGAAGTGATGAAGAAACTGACCTACTTCCTTAACACAATCACTTTTTATTGAAAAAGATGGTGCAAAAGAGACTATGTGGGCACCAGAGACAGGCACTCAAAATCCTGACAAAGTCAGCCCTTAGAAGGATTTTAGGACCAGCAGGGAAATATGGGTCTGAGAACACAAGGGGAAAAGAAGAGGGCGTTACTGACAATCTTGAGGTCCTTCAAGAAACGACTAGTCAAGTTTAGTCTTGACCTTTCAACTACAAGACATCCCACGCAAGATAACCTGAATGCCCTCCTCTTGCTTGTAGCTTTTCGTAAATGCTTGTACTCAGGACACGGATTCCCCTTCACGACGTACCTTTCTGTAGAAGTTGTGGAGCTCGGAGAGTCTCCACATGGCGTGGAGCAGGGTCGCGGCTGCTTTGGCCCCTCTGGTAGGACCGTACCTGAAAGTAAGGGGCTCGGCGTTTGAAAATGCAATTTTACATCTTTAAAAAATGTGTCTTGTGTGCCACACATTTTCTCAATAACAGATGGGTAGGAGAACCCAGGAGTCATAATTACAGTATTTATCACAACATAAAAAATTTAGATAGAAGTTGTATCCATGAATCGTTCAGCTATTAGACAGGTTTTGTGTCTCCATTTATTTTGTTTTTTGGCTAAGGAAGTTTTGAAATGCTGTGTGGTTGTCTGCTTACATACTGTATGTGCTCAGCTGCTTCAGTGTGTAGTGAAAGAAGGACACGGGGCCACTACTGAAAACTTAAGGGAATTTATTAAGGCAAGGGAACAGGAAACTCTTTGCTCAAAGCGTCATGGGTTTCGGAAACTTATTTCCCAGCCAGGTGGTTGAGACCCAAACGCTAGGCTGTTTCTGTTTAAGAAACAGCTGGAAGACATTTTAAATTCACTCAGCTACTAAACTACTAAACAAGCAAGATGTGCCGCACGGCCGCCTTTCATTCACAGACCTTCCTTCTGTTCATATACACAGTGAAGTCATGATGGGTGATGGGGGGCCTGGCAATTGAGGAGCAATACATCCATGCAAAAACCCAGCGAGTCCCGGTTTCCAAGAGAGAAACAAAATAAACTGCTTTTCCCAAAACGCTCAGCACTCCTGAGATAAAAGGTTCCCGGAGGGCTCACCTGTGCTCCTGACATGGTATTTAAAAGAAGATTTTGTTCAATTTAGCTTTGAAATGTGACTGGCAGGACACCTGCACCGGCTCATTAACTGGGAAGGGTTAAGCAGAGCTCTGACAGAGCTAGTCTTTATTGCTTTACTGTACAGTTTCTCATCTTTCTTTTAGTATTGAAAGCAAAGCATGGCCTTATAGCATCTTTGAAGTCTGAGAGAAACAACAAATAAAGCTGGTTTTGGTTAATCCAGCTCTGTTCAAATTTTGTACTGTGACCCGGACATATGCTTAGTGGAGGTGGAAGTCAGTACTGCTTAATAAGCAGTATTCTTCTTCTCATTTAATATTCTTTAATGAGCACCATTTCTACGGCAACCTCTATTGAACACTTAGTCATATTGGTTTAAGCTACGACTAACAATGCTGATAGGTCTATGTCTTGCTAGATAGGTCCAAAAAGCAGCCTTTTATCTTCATGTATGTGAAGAGAGGAACACATGACAAAGAACACCAGGCAAAGAGTCAGTTTAATTTGACCAGTAAAAGGGATGGATTAGCTGCTCTAATTTGTTCACTCTGATCAACAGCATAAGAATCTGATGAGGAGGAGCTTGTGTTGTAGTGTGACTGCAGACAGCGTAGTAAAGGCAGAAAGAGTTGAGAAAAGAAATAATCACCCATTGTCGCTGGTGCTGATGCTGATGATTTTGTTCATCCCTTTATTGTTGACGATGCTGCGTGCGTTCTGGGTGTCATCCTGGACCAAGTTCATGAGGACGCTGCAAATGGACACGGTGGTTTCTGGCGGAACATCTGTGCTGGTGCCAGAACCGGGCAGAATCGTCAGGAGATCCGGCAATATCTGGTTTCCTGGAAGAGAAAGTAAAACATGAAAAGACAGCCAACATGCATGGTGAGGCCCGCAATACCTCTGATCTAGCCCGTGGGAAAAGCATGAAATGGTATCAGGCTGCTGGAAAAGAAGCCTTCACTCTGGCTTATAAAGTGATAGGAGTAAATCAGTTCTACAAAAAAGTAACAAAGACCAAAACAAACTGGGTCTAAGAAATGCAAGGTCAACCATGTTAACAATGTAACAGCCAGTGGATGCCACGCCCAGTATCACAAGAGGTAAATTCTGGGGTTCTCCCTCAAAGCCTGTCTTACCCATGTCCCTGTGCAGCTCTTGGTACCGGGACATGTTCCTCAGCAGGGACACGGCTGTCCTCTGCACACCGCGGTCCGCCGACTGAAGCATCTTCTGGATGTGCTGGAGGCCGTTTTCCTTCCGGACAATGGTGTGCGCGATGGAGTTCGACAGCTGTGTTAAGCAAATGTTGAGTTACTCATTTAGAACGGGGATCCTCAGGCCTTGCTTTGCCCTGGGTGTCCCCACTCGTGGATATTTTAGTAACCACCGCCTCGGCAATTTCTAAAAGTCCTGGGACATACAAGCTGCAGTCAAACAAATTTGCAATTTGTTAAACTGTGTAATTGAGAGATCATCTGGGACTAAAGTCAGAATATCCTTCATTCTGCGAGGACCTAAGTTCCCTTTACTGAAAATATGACTTTGTTAATTGTCAAATTAATTGTTATGACTTAGTTGATCAATAACATTTAAAAAACAGATGATTCAAACTAAACTTCAGTGGATATAAAAAGTCTAGACACCCTTATTGAAATTGCAGGTTTTTGTGATGTGATGCCAGAAATCAAGATAAATCATGTCAGACATTTTTTCATCTTTAATGTGACCCTGCAACCAACAAAATTCAAGATAAAAACAAATAATCAATTCTAATTCAGCACTAGACACTGCACAGAGACATTACGAGCGTAGGAAATATAAAACTGAACAAACTCATAGAAGAATATTTCATGACCATTAACAGAGTTAAGCTGCAAGTTAAGCAGCTTCAGTCAGATACATAAGAATAAAAAGGTTTGAATGAAGATGGCAGCACTGTCTGAACTACATTTCCCAGGTAGATCTGTGGGCAAATGAGTAGCTGCTGGGCATTCGTCTTCTGGAGTTCAGAGAGTAGATCCTCTGTGAAGTCCTACCAGAGGGAAAGGGACAGACTAATAAACAGCGAGTCTTGAGATGTTGAAAGTTTTGTGAAGAGAATTGCAGAAAGATCTGGATTTGTCTGGAAGACGTTTGTGATGAGTCTCAGAGAGAGACCAAAATACTGTGTTTGTTTTGAAGCCAATATGCAGCTTAGCTGCCCTGTGAGTTAGGCAGATAATGAAGAATTGAGCTAGTAGCTCCAGGGGAGCTTAGGCTTTTGTTTTGTTTTGGGGTTATGCTTGGGTTTGCCTAATTCCTGCACTGTAAATAAAGAGCACGGTTTCTGAACTTTACAGCTGTGTGTTGGTGTGTCTGTTGTTTTGGACCCGCCCATTTGAAAAGATCCCTTTACAAATTACATTCTATGACTCATGATCCTTTCCCAGTATAACAATGCGTTTGCGTGATGGAAGACAGAAGCTTCAGCAGGGGGCACTGTTAATGTGTGGGGCGATTCTATCTGTTTACCAAGCTGCTCCCCGCAGTGAGGTTCTGCAGAGACCCGATGGAGGCCTCCTGAGTGAACTTCCTGGTGCTCTTGGCGATCAGAGACAGGTACATCCTGATGGTGATGGGGCTCCATAGCCACTCCACCCCTCGTGGGTTGCTCTTCTCTTCTGGGAAGGGTACTCTCCTTTCTGGGGCCTAAAAATAATAATAATACAACTTTATTTTATTTAGTGCCATTAAAAGTGTCTTCTTAAAACACTTTACAGAACACAAAAATACACAGTAAGAGGAGATAGTAGGATGGGGGATTGGATATATTAGGAAAGCAAAGGATTAGACAAAGGCTTAGTTCCATACAAGCCCGTCCAAAGAAGAAAGTGTTGTCTAGATATGAAAGAGCTCGGGGAAGGTGATTCTTTGATATCCTTGGGGAGAGGTCCAGAGCTCTGGGGCATAACAGGAAAAGACCCAGTCACCCGTAGAGTGTAGACGGGCTTGGCGGACAGACAGGAGACCAGAGTTAGAAGAGCCAAGGTTGCGAGGTGGGAAGAAGCACGATAGTAGCTCAGACAGGTACTGAGGTGCCAAGCCATGCAGAGCCTTATAGGTGAGCTTGAGGATTTTGAAGTCGACGTGAAACCTGATCGGAAGAAAATGAAACAAAATAAGAAAAACGAAATAGGAAAAACCGCCTTCAGTGTGAATGCAAAGCTAGGCTGAATCTCAACAAGTGCATGTTCAATTAAAAGAGTTAAGTACAGTACCACTGCAGAACCTATAAAAAAGCATTTGCGCTGAAAGACTGAGTGAAAGGCCATGTGGACAATTCCAGACAAGCCTTTAACAACCTTTTATTAAATACCTCTCAATGTAGACCTTACAGAACTGACAATAAAGTGTTTTCTGGAGCAATGATGACCTTTATTAAGGTTATTCATTATTCATGCATGAAGTAAACTTCTTAAGTGACAAATAGGTTGCTTTTGACCAATTATTTTAATAATAACAATACATTTTCCTCTTTTGCCTGCACTGTCTAAACTGCATTAGATTCACCCACGTCATCAGTTTTAATAACGTACTTCGTTAGGCTTTGTACTCCGAGACCCAAAACAGCCAGGTGTACTGTTTGGTGCCGCCAGGTTCTGTCTTGACTCGTGGATCTCCTTGATGTATTTCTGGGGCAGTTCAGCTTCCATCTGGTAGCAGAGGTTGTGAAGTATACACACACAGTTCTCTGTGGACTGCAGAACACAGTGAAGTGAGAGACTGTGAGCACATGCCTCAGACACACAAGAATATTGATAGGCTGAGCTCCTTTAATAAATAAAAAGGGCAAATAATTTATGTTAGGTACAATATGCTACCAACGTTTTCACATCCATTCAAACTATACTGTGCATCTTCTCAAAATACATTCTTACAGTAAACACACACAAACACTCTCTTGAGAAATTAATGTGGAAGTACTTCAGAACTCACTGGAGGAAGAGGACTGTTTCACTCATTATTCTCCGTTCTGACAATATTTTGGTATTAAAGAGCCTCATCTTGAAACCAATTTTCATTATACTGATATACTGTATAAGGCAGGCAATCTCATAAGCTGTACAACGTTAGCGATTAGTTACTGTACATTATCTGTCCAACAATTAGTACTTATGAAAAAGATTTCAGTGACCAGGATGTGATGCCGCACAGGGATGTGCCTTGTAAGTTGTGGCTTTTCCTGCAGTTTGTATCAGTCTTTTTCAAAGCTTCCCCCTTACCAGGATCAGCTAGTCATCCTGCTCCAGACAGTATAAATTGAGCGCCGAGCAGTGAAGAAGGTGGTGTTGGTGAGGGAGTGGATCCACTGAGGATCTCAGATTGCCCAGCACAGACTGCATCAGCCCGTCTGAAGGTTTGCAGCTAATAATAATTTTTCTCATCTTTGGCTGGAAGGGTAGCACTACTGCTAACTTATTCTTCCCTAGCTCTGGACGGAGGGCCACTCTTTTGCTATTAATTTCCTCTCCAGCTCAGGCTGAAGGGTAGTGTCATAGCTCACTATTTTTCCAGTAGTCCTGTGGGTAGGGCTGTTATTTATCCTTACTTTTACCACAGGGCAAGACTCGGAAAAATAAAAGCCTTATTTTATCTAGATAATATATCTTGTGTGGAGGGTGTGTCTTGGGGTTTTGGCTATGGCGGTCTACCCCCATGTGGCATCAAAGGTTATCTGTGGCGAATCCAGGCCTCCGACATGTATCAAATGAGGTGCTGTTCAAGCCGCAGACCTCCAATCTGGATGGAGGGTTTTATTAGATGAGTCACTCATGCTAAGATATGCGCCTTTTAATGAGCACGATCACCATGTGGCTGATGATAAGAATGAGATATTTCATTATTCCCAGGCCAAAAGATAAAAACTTTTATCTCAAATGTTCTCAGTTTTGTAATGAAACACAAAATTCTATAGCTATTGAAAGAAATGCTATAAGCATTCAAATTGTTTACCTTGTCATCTGGTTTATAGTCGGCAATGGTTCCCCGGACATAATGCACAAGTGAGTCAATGAAAGAGTCGCAGGATCTCATCGCCTTCCGTCCCTCCGGGCCTCCTGAACTAATATTCCTAGGAATCGAATAAACATTCCCAAATTATTTTATTGTTTTGTTTAGCACTGAAAAGGACAACCCGTAACAAAGTGCTCCTTTTTTGTCCTTTCAGTAGAACATAAAATAGTAATGCTTCGTTATATACAAGGTTGAATGGCTTTCGTTTCTTTGTAACCGTTCTTATTTCCTCACTGGATCCATTATTACAGCTGAAAATCCGATGAGTTTAAACTGTGACCAGGTGGAGAAGATCGGCACTGTACTGTTTTCAGGCAGAAGTGTCTTATACAGCACGTTCTTTGTTCGCATTTCTGTTACAACACCAGTACCATTTGTCAAGCTGGAACACCTGATAGCTCTTCAGGCTACAGTACTTATTTAATGAGTGAAAGAATAAAGGTTAGAACGATCACAATTATAGCAAAACCAGAAAATGAAACAGTGAAATTCTCTGAAATATAATGCATTAAAAATACCCTGTCTTTTAGCTTTTATGTATGTATTACCAGACTTTAGAAAGATACGGAACTGCTTTTTAAATTATGGAACAAGGAAGGACCTTTTGCATGCAAAAGAATTGGGGAATTAAACAATCATTATAGGCATACAGTAATTTCAGAAAAATTACTGCACTACAGAAAACACTCCAGAAAAGTTCTGTGAACGGACTGTTGAGGAGTGTTTTCCCTTCCTCTTGCTTAGCAAAAAAAGCAGATACAATTTAATCTGTTAATCTGATTTAAAAGTAGAGGCATTCAATCTGTTAAAAAACCTCTAGCTCTAAACTCTTTACTTGGGCTTCAGCAGATGATATTGTGCCAAAAGCGATGGTTCAGATAAACAGATGTATTCATTTATGATAATTTCGAAAAATCAGGCAATTGATTAGCAGGTTAATACGTTTTTAACATTAAATATTGTACGTTTATTTGTAAAAGAGTGGTGTCCCATATCCATTTCTGAGGGTGTGGATCCTGCAGGGATGGCACAGGGGTGCAGTGTTCAGCATTGCTGCCTCACAGCGCTGGGGCCCTGGGCTCACTTCCAGACCTGGGGTGCTGTCTACCTGGAATTGTCATTCTCTCCATGTGATAATGGGTTACCTCCGGGGGCTCACGTTTCCTTCCACAGTCCAAAAACTTACTAGTTGGTTAACTAGCTCCTGGGCAAACTTGTCCTAGGTGTGAGTATCTGTTTGGATGTGCGTCCTGCCCAAGGTGTACCCTGCCTTTCTCCAGCTGACTCTACATTGGAAGAAGAGGCTAGAAAATGGATGGATGTACGGATCCTACAGGGTGTACAATTCCACAACTTGTTGAAGAACTAAGTTAATGAGAGAATGAAAACTAGAAGCTCAGCAGATACTAAAACCTGATACTGAGCACACTTGCACTGAACCAAAAGATCTTCAGAAAGAGAAGGGGCCAGTCTTTCACTTTTACAGCTGGTTTGCTGATTGTACATCAACACCAAATATAACTAAAACCTTGAATTTCAGAATGAGAAGACTACAATCAAGAATGTAAAGATCCTATTACAGCATCACCCTGTACAGTTAAAATTCTTGTTTCAATATTTTATTCATTTTTTAAATAGTGGGGAAAAATAAAACACAGAACTAAATTTATAGCAGAAAAGTTACAAATGAGAAGAGGCCATTCAGACTACCTAAGTCATGATGTTGCTGGTAGTAGCTACTACATTGAAAGATCTAATCCAGTCCTTTCTTGAATGAAAAGGTACTGTATGTGCTTCAACAATATAGCTAGGTAGCTTATTCCAGACTCCCAGAATCTTTTCTGTAACATGATGAGCCCAAATTGTACACAATATTCCAAAAGACATCTTATTAGTGCGTTGTACAATTCCAATATTTGTTACTTCTTCACATTGCCTGAAGATGAATGTGATGTTTCAAAAACATTATTTTTATTTTTATAATTATTATTAATCATCAGAATTATCATTGCCACTTCACAATAGGGACTCCCCTCCATCACCACCAGTATGCATCCCTACCTGGATGATGCCCAGTCTGCTCCCCACACACCAGCTCTCAGTGGGGAGGAGACCAGTTTAGAGATGGGGATTATTAGGAGAGTGGTAAAGTCCAGGGCAAACTTTGGCCAGGACACCGGGGTTAAAACCCTTATTTTTTTTTTTAGAAAAGCCCTGTGATTTTCAGCCTCCCAAGCGGTTTCCAGGCTCACTCCTGATGAGCTTCAGAGAGCTGCCAGTTGTGAGTTGCAGGGTGATACAGGTGCTGGCAATGTTTGTCAATGTGTTGTATTAAGGTTTACCATCTTGTATTTAAATGATTATGTATTTACTATGACTGCTGTTGATTGCATTAAATGTCATCTGCTCTGTGTTTTCCCTGAATTGGAATCTGTATGAATCATTTTGAATTTCCTTTGCTTTTCTGGTAATCCACCTATTTTGAAATCATCTGCAGATTTGACCAGATTAATAACTATATACAAATCTAGGTTATTAACATGAATTAAAAAAAGCAGTAGTCCAGTGGTACCCCACTAACTGTCACCTCAAATTATTACAAATTTATCTGTATTTAGTTTTTGATCTATACATCAGATTCTAAATCTAAAGACATGCACTGCCTGCAAACCTAGTCTTTTATGAGAAATTGATAAGTCTCTGTATTCATTAAAGAAACAAATTAGATATACTGGACACATGAATTTCCGAATCGTCCTAAATTCTGATGTGCTTATCGATCGGAATATTTAATTTAAAACATAGAGATCATAATCCAGATTTTTAAATATATTAGTATATGTACTGTATACTATTTTTTATACTAATATACTATGCATATATATAAAAAACTATACATTACGTAATATATACGCTTACATAATAAAAAAATCATTATACACAACACGTTGTTAGAATTGTGATGAACTAAGCCTCTGTAAAAAAAAGTTAATTGGCTAAATCAATTACATAAGCAAAACGTCTTGTGCGTTACCCTGTGGGCTCAGGACCGGCCGAACGAGTGACATTACTGCTGCGTACAAAACTT